TTTTTTTTTTTTTTTTTTTTTTTTTTTTTTTTTTTTTTTTTTTTTCATTAAGGCTATTAAATTTGTATGTTTTTCTTTGAAATATGAATGCATGTTTCAATTGACAAAAATCTCATAAAGATATTTAATTAATTAAAAGACAAAAGTGGTAGGATTTTGATGAAAAATAAAAAATCTAGATTATTTAAAAAAAATTTAATATGTTACTTTTAATGTATGCATATGTGTGTAGACATGGCAGTGAACCTGCTGTGAGTTTAACATATTCTGACAAAAGCTCAACTAGTGCTACAATATCGCTTGGTGTCGGCGATGAAATGACTCGTGACAGTTATCATCCAGGTGAGGATTTTGAAATTTATTCTCATTTCAGATATATAAGTATATCGTATTTGTACACTGATTTCATACAATTTGTTTGTCAGGGCCATCTGGAAGTAACAGCACTGGAACTCTTGATGCAGGTCCCAGTAATAATCATAGACATCACCACTATAGCAATGTTAGAGAAAGTAAGTGATATTTCATTTTTTACTCTTTGATGGCGTTACAAGTTCTAATATAACATATTCGTATATTTGCAGAAACTGAAGAAGCAGCATATATCGATAGCGACGATGAAGATATTCAATCGGGTGAAAGGTCTGTTGAAATGTTACGACAGAGGTTATACTTAAACTGTTCCATGAAATTTTTCTTTATGTACAATATTTTTTTTTATCTTCGTAGATTACTAAATCCAGTCGAAGCTGAGATGGACGAAGCGATTGCCAATGTTCGTTCGTCACAAGGACACGAGACGTTCGATGATACTTATCTAACGGAACTCTGCGTAAAACAAAAGTACATGGGCCATAGGAACGCCAGGTATCGTCCTTTGATTCTATCTTCTGATGACGTATATGAAATTCAACTATTAATGAGAAAGATACACAAGCAATATATATGCTCCATTTCATGTGTGGGTGACATGTCGGAGATTATTTAAAAAATCCTGTTAGTTGTAGTTACTAGATTAACACGATAATAAAGTAATTACGCCAAGAAGCTGACGAGGATGAATGTCTTTGAGATTCGGATTATATATTCGGATGATAATTCATAGTCAGTATACACCAAATCTATTTGGCGAGTTTGGTTGGTGTCACCTTGAATGACTATAACTTGGACTGAGTTCTAATCAAAGTGTATAATATCTGAAAGATCGGAAGCCAAATCATTGACCCATGTAGTTCCGAAAAAGCCTCCGAGCGGACTGGGCGGACTGTGCGATGTTAAGCCGCCAAATTATCTCTGATCGTTCGCCTTTTCTCCACTTTTGACTCTAGTTTCTTTAGGACCATGATTAAGGAAGCGAATTTCTGGGGCGACGATTTCGTCATGTCGGGCAGCGATTGCGGTCACGTATTCGTGTGGGAAAGGGACACCGCCAGACTGTGCATGCTGTTAGAAGCGGATCAACATGTGGTCAACTGTTTGCAACCTCATCCATATCTGCCGATGTTAGCCACTTCTGGCATTGACTATGATGTGAAACTTTGGGCACCGATCAATGACGAGCCGAGCTTTGATGAAAAATTCGCGGAAGACGTAAGTAACTTTATTTCAAAGAAAGACTTTATAAAGACAAGACTTTATTTCAAATATAATACAACATATATACAACATATATATATATATATGTATATATGTTTTAGTTGAAAAAGAGAAATGCAGTTATGTTGGAAGAGACCAAAGACACAATCACTGTACCTGCGGTTTTTATGATCAGAATGCTGGCATGTCTCAATCAAATACGCAGAGGTAGTGAATATTTATAATAGTATTCTCAGGATCTCTTGGTGGTAGTTTACTATACTAAAAAAAAGTCGAACAGGAATATATAAGTAGGAATAATAAACTGAAGATTTCGGAGTCTTCCATTTTCGTGCGCAGGTATTAAAGTACATGACGCTTTTCGTTGGATGATGTAAAGCTTTATCTGAGTTTTATTGCATTGGATGTGTATTTGTCCAAATTTCTTACTTCAGTAGGTACAATATCGGTCGATTAATCTAATTTTTCTTTTTTTCTTTCTCTCAATGTGCAAACCAATATTTGATTACCGCGTTTCTATGTTCTTAAGTGTTATCTAAACTCTAAGTTATTTTCGCAGTTCCTAAATGCACATTTTCTTATTAGCCAAAACATTTCATACTTGTTCTATTACTGTTTGTTTGATAAAGAACGAACAAAAAATGACATGTTTATTTTTAAAACTATCTATTTGAATTTTATTTTATCTTTTTTTTTATTTATTGTTAAAAATATTTTCAAAGTTATTATGCTATTTATCGATTGTTATGTCAAAATAAACATATCGAATATATATCCATATTTTAGGTAATATTTTAATTTTATGTATATATTTAATTTTTTACACACACATACACACTATGTGCAAACATTATTTTGAGTAATAATTTTGCGTAGAATCATATAATTTTTCATGAAAAATATGAAATTGCTATTTAGAATTTTTGAACAGATAAATAAAAAAATAGTCTATAGAAAGTATGTAAATCCACTCGTTTTGTTATATTTATTGTATGCAACCAATAATTTTAGTGCAAATGATTTAATTCATTTTACTTGTATTTGTATGTAGCATATAGAATGTACGTATATGCATATTGTTTTATACGCATAATATTATATATATGTGTGTGTATGTGTGTGTGTCTCTGCGCGCGCGCGCGCGTGTGTGTGTATACTTTATACTTGATAAAATATAATTCATTCTAATCTTCGAAAATTTGCTTTGAACCAGGAAATCAAAACTGAGGACAAAACAAATAAGTAATTTTTAAAGAAATGTTCAATTATAATCTTCTTTTGGAAAGAAAATATTCAAAATCATAACTACTCATTTGTTCTCACATCAAACATTACTAAATACACATGTCACTAAAATGTATTTAAGAAAACACTGAATTGCTGTTTGTTTGTCCGTTTAACAAAATTGCACAAATTATGTCAATTTTGTAGGTCGGGGCCGCAACAGGAGACGGAGCAGCGACGAGAGCGGCGAATTGCGAGGTGGCTAAATCATTTTCGACGATACTGCAAATGGTGATAAAAGTGAAAATGCGTATCACTGCGACTACAATTTATCGATCGAACCATCGAACCTTGAACGTTTTAATCAGGAACGAACGGATCTCGTGATGTACGTGTATAAAGTGCAATTCAAATGGTATATCAATGTAGATACATTCATAAGATATCCTGTGGTGTTACGAATGTCACCACGTATTTGTATATACCTTGTGCTTACAATATTGTATCAAATGGGGAGAGAATGGATTTTATTCATTTCATGAATACCGAAGTCCGAATGTATTTTTTTTTGCCACTTTATATATGCAATCTTATGCGAAATTTTTAATGGATTCATATTGTTTAGTGTGTTTAGTACGAAAAATGTAGTTTTGTTGTATACATTTTACAATTAATTTAAACTGTATAGTTATTGCAGTATATTGGCTCCGAATGATATTTATGCGATTTGTATTATTATCATACGACACATGTATAAAAGCACAGCAAAGCTCACTTTTGCAGACAAGTTATTCTCGTTGAAACAAACAATGGAAATTTAGTATATCCTTGTTGATTTTTCAAATTTAATACATTGGTCAGAGGAACGTTTCGTATCCACTTTACGTGCATATTTTGTTGTGTATTATTAGATTCTAAGTAGGCGAAGGATGTGTCGATTTCCGTGATGACAGTGAGGTGACAAAAAAGTATTGACTCGCGCGTAATCAGAAGCTTGAAATTGTAAGTTTACATGTGAACTTTAATTATTTATTTTAATTATTATACAATCTTATGCATGCTTTTTTCTATATATTAGAGTAAAATACGATTCCATAAAAATTTTGCAGAATTATATTTCACGCTCAAGAGTATGACTACATAATACTGGCTTGCAGCTTAATGAGCAAGAGGAACATTTTATCTTCTGTTATTGTAAGCATAATGTTGTGTAAATTGCACAGTCAACTTTTTGCGTCTGTTTTGTCGTTGTTTACAGTTTACTCCTTTCATCCTCGGAATTCCAAGAATAATAAGAATAGCAAAGTTGATAATACAACTTGATCTTGTAGAAGAGGGTAATGCGATACCAACGATTATTAGAACATTGAAATTTCTATCGTAAGGCGAACTGTAACACATGCCTTACAGGCCTTTAAGTTAAAGCAATAATAATAATAATAATAATAATAATAATAATAATAATAATAATAATAATAATAATAATAATAATAATAATAATAATAATAGTATAATAGTATAATAGTATAATAGTAATAATAGTAATAAATTAGTAATTAAATAGTAATAAAATTAAATTAAGTAATTAAATAAATTAAATTAAATTAAATAAATTAAATAAGTAATAATAAATAGTAATAATAATAATAATAATAGATAATAATAGATAATAATAATAATAATTAATAATAATAATAATAATAATAATAATAATAATAAATAAATAAATAATAGTGTCCGCTTGAGAATATAGGCAGGTTTATGAGATTTTGGAGCTCGATATTGTAATCGATAATCCCGTTATATGGCCGTACTTGGAGTAATGTCGTCGCTTGTGCAATTTTAATACGATAATTATACGATAGAGCAACTGTTAGAAGAGTAAGGTACACGTAAAATTGTGAGCATGTCCTCAGAATTATGTATGGAGAATTAGATAGTATCAAGAAGGATTTATTATTTATAATAAAAGTGTGAAGACGCGAAGACGTGCTATTGAACATCGTGATTAGATCGTCTCTCAATGTCGACACCTTTTATCTGTGCGTTATATTTAACATAATAATTGTATATCTGCAAGATTTTTATAACAACTTTTACAAATAATGACGTTTGTAATTCGCATGCTTGTAACAATTGGCAGTACGATTAAGTTGTGATTTTTATTAAGAATTGGAATTGTTTTGGAATTAGAAATTCTTAAATGCAAAAAATCTTTGTATTGTAACATTGAGTCGCTTACTGGCAGTTATTGCGTGGAAATGATGAAATGTCACATACAATTTTTGATTTCACCCATTGACGTCTTTGACGATGTAGGGGGAAGAGATAAGAATCGGAGGAGAAACAATGAAAAACAGCAAAAAGAAATGAAAAGCAACAAAATCAAAATATATATTCAACAACAAAAATCTAATTTAATAACAAAATAAGAAGACTGCAATAAAATTAATAATTTAATAACAAAATAAGATTGTAATAAAGTTAATCATAGTAAACAGTAATAATAAAATAATATTAATGATATATAAGTAATGACTAGAAGAGTATAATAAGTGTGTCTATACAATAGATAATAGTGATTGTAGTAGAAACATACAAAAAATCTCGCGTTTACGCGAGAGTTACTCTCTAAATTATCCTGAGGCTATGTTTTTTTTAGATAGTAGAAGGCTATCTACTATCGAAGGCTCGATGAAGCTCTATTATCGACAATCTTTGATCTTTTTTCAACTTCCCAAAAAATACTGTTTTAAATTTCATTAAACATAAATGTATTGAACGCAAGTTTTCGTTAAATATAAAATTTGTTTGAAATTGATGCGACCGTAATACACGTAAGCGTTCACAGGATACACACACGATTTTCTTTTGTAATAAACCATTTATTATTAATGTTTGCCGAGTGAATTATTGATACGTGCAGGAAGTAAATATATCAACATATAATATATTAAGGATGCAGTTCTTTGAGATCAAGGATACATTCTCACATCTTATTCTGAATTAACTGCGAACCTGATTTAAAATCTATCTAATTAAAATCTATTGCAACTAAAATCTCTTTTCTTAGGGCTAAGGATTTAAGAATCTGAAAATATATAAATTTCGAGAAAATTGATATATATAAAAATCTTATTAATCCAAAGATATGTTATATTTTCGCTAAAAATGAGGCAAAAAATTTCGATAGTATAAATCTGAATTGTGATCTACATTCTACTTCTTACAGCCGAGAAAACACGAACAAATTCAAATTTCAAGCAGAAATTGAAATTTATCATTATTTAGATAAATTCATGAATGATAATATTAATAATAATGATAATTTCAATTACCAGATGTTCTCGATGGAGGCAAGCGAAAAAAAAAGATAAACAAGGATCTTCTATCAAGGAGCTACGTGGCGCGCAGAACGTGTTTAACTATGAGCAGCTATGTGTGTATGTGTATTTCCTTCGTTTTTATTTCTCTGAACATTAGGACAAAATGGTAATCAATCGCTTATCCGTTTATCCGTAGATAATCCAATAATGTTTGTAATAATGAAGTTTAGTGTTATACTAGATGTATCGATGAGAGAGAGAGAGAGAGAGAGAGAGAGAGAGAGAGAGAGAGAGAGAGAGAGAGAGAGAGAGAGGGAAAGAGAGTCAATAATTTTTTGTTCATTCGTTCTTTCTTCTCGTGACTAAACGCGATATCCCGCTCATCCGCTGAGCTGAGTTTCCCTGCAAAAAAGATTAAAACAGGATCGAAAGGAATTAATTCCCATAAAAATCCAAGTTCTTTTTTAACAGTAAATAGTTGATAATAATAGATTTTCACATTTTCTTCTGGACTGCCAATTTTGAAGATGAGGAAAACGCGTTCGTAGAATGAATTCCTATCGAAACTTTTCGGTTCAACCATTTGTTGCAGAGTCGCGTTTGTTCGATCGCTTTATCGCATCGCCGCGGATCTCTCTGAAGAAGGTGGTGCCGAGAGTTCGAGCAAAAATATTTGCTTTCGAGCCTCGCGCGCCTGGCCGAGACCGAGTCAAATCTGCGAGTACGCGGTCAACTACGCTATCGCGCTTTTCGTTTAATCCTTCAATCTCTCAATTCTGATTTTCAATCGAAGAATGGAACCAAGTGCATCGTAGAGCATCAAATTCCTTGCAAGTGTTACTCGCAAAAAAGATTTCAGCAATAATTAATAACTATCGATAGCTAGAATCTTGACAGAATGATACACTTCTCAATATTTTTAATTAGAGCGCACATATATAATTCTATTTAAGATTCTAATACATTAGAAATTCGTTTGGAAAGATATTAAAAATGTAATTATATGTACAAATATGTAATAGATATTTTATTATAACAAATACTTTGATATCGCTGGAATGTACTGGAAACATACTTAGATATTAAATTTGTTTCAATTTAGATTCAATAGTATACACAAAGCTTGATTCCATCTTTCCCCCCATAATACGGAGCGGCGGTGGTAGCTGACCAAGTACAATCGTTTCATGATGATGTTCGACCGTACATATGCGAGTAATTATTTAAAAATTACACTTAACTCTGTTTAATTTAATCGGGGAGAAGTGCAAAACTGGATGTTTAGACGAATCAAGTCACATAGGATTGACATTTAGATCGATTAACTCTTAGACTAAGCGAAAGATAAATTTCTGGACACGATTTCACACACGCGCTCTCCAGAGATAATCCCAGCCGGACGTGCGAAGCTTTCGACGTTCGAAGTGGATAAAATACTATTTCGAAATGTATTTTTCGTTCTTGCGCGTGTGTGTGTTCTATATAAAAACTCGCTATTTCCATCCTACACTTTTTTTCATCTCTCTTATTCCTCTAATAATAAGTAATAAGATTACATTACAAATATTGATTGCCGCGCGTACAGATGTGCTGCGGCGTTTCTTCTTCGTAGTTTATAAGAAAGAGCAACGGAAAATAGCGTATTTTTCATTACAGTCGTCAAGTGCAAAATTGGGCGAAACAGTATTTTCGCCGCCTTCGGTTAGCATTACACGTTTATCTATTCTTCAGGTAGAGATACAAATGTCTGTGGGCGGGATCGCCATCGCTCGCCATTACTCGTATTGCAAGCAAAACATGTGTATATGTATGTGCGTGTAAGTATATACGTATATACATAGGGAGACGTAACATGTATATATGTATACGTATATCCATGTATATATATAATGTCTGCGATAATAATCATGATAACAATATAACAGTGATATAATAATTAATGACAATGACAATGACAATAATAATAATTACAATCAATGTAATAATATTTATATAATCCGAATAATCGTTACTATCGTTCACACTGCACGGAAGGAAACGTTCAGACTTTCTGAGGTATAGTATTACGCGATGCATCATTTGTTCCAAATTAAAGCATCTCTCTCATTCTGCGATTGGCACGAAAAACGAAAATAAGATCCGTATTTCAGTCTTCCGATGCGCATGTTAAATCTTTATGCTATAAGGTGTAAAGTAGATAGAATACATAGCGTACATACTAGACTGAAACATCTTAAAGCAATAAGATACAATTCGATAGTCCAAATAATTAATAATAATCGAAACAAGCGAATAGATATTTCCATGGCACAACAAATCAACACGAACAATTAACAATATAAGTGAGTACGAATAAAAGTTAATAGTAGCTCGATCAAACAAACCTGAGATTCAATTATACAGTGATCTTCTTCATAAACGCAAGAATAACAAGAAGAAAGTAACTTTTATGACCTAAGAATAGATTTTTATCCAACCTTGTTTTACCCTATTGAATCTGTATGCATTTCATCTTTACACATCGGAAGGCCTAGCTTTAATGTCAATTGGATTGTTCCTTGATACCTCAAAATACTGATAACGCACTGACGCACGCGTGTACATATGTACGCATCATTGTACATTGGGATGCAGATCATTTTTAAAACATGTATCGAGATAAGAAATCAAAGTGTGAAATACAGCGGGTGACTTTGTCCAGATGTACGAGATAACATTTTAATGCCTAAACTGTCAATAACCCGTCGTTACATTTCACCTCTTGAATACTTATGCATAATTGCTAACTTTTACGAAGAATACGCTTAGATCTCATTTATGAAGAATTTAGTGATTAAGTTTTATATATTTTTTTTTTTTAAATTATATATAACAAAGGTTGCTGAAGAATTTAGAAGCCAAACATTCGGAAA